TTGAAGGTAAGTTAAAATTCCCCTTCTCCCTCCCCAATTATTTACATTTAATTTTTTTTTTCCTTTGTGTCTTTTTCCATGTCCGGCAACGGATTGCAACCCTCAGTGTCGCGCCTGTACCGGACCGGGTCCGGCAACGGGATCGCAACCCTCGGTGTTGCTCCCGCACCTCGCTCAGCCAGTGAGCGGGAACCGGTCTGTATGTGGGATCTGAACCCTCGGCGGGAGCGCCACCAAGCTCCCAAGCGGCGCACTGTAGCAGTGCGCCACTGGGCCGGCCCTACATTTAATTTTTTGAAGATGTCGCCCTGGCTCAAAATTTTGAAAAATACATTAAAAGGTGTGCAGTGACAACCTGTCTCCCACCCATCCCCGCTGCCTGGGCGCACCCTACGATCACCATCAGTCCCATATTTAGTCTCACCCAGGCCCTAGATCTTTTAGGTTTTTTCTAATATTTGTGGTTACAAACAGGGTTATAGTAAAAATCCTTGTGTGTATTTCCCTGTGCATGTGTGGAAATACATCAGGAGGAAAAATTCCACCAGTAGAATTGCCTGAACCAAGAGCCCGTGCATTTGTCATTTTGATAACCAAGATTTTATTGTTGGCATAATGGCATCTTAGGGAAAATTGAGAGATTTGCAAGACTGGGTGATGATACTATGATGTAAAATCCTTTTGTAGTCATTCTCTGATTTGATTCCTTAACTGCCTTATTAGGGTATGAGTGTAGGTATAATTACACTCACTCCTGGGGAAGGAGACTTGGGTCTAGGTGGTGGCAGAACAAGGACTAAAGTGCTGTCTTTGAATCCTGGACAGGGTTTTTTAGGGCCACACTTTTTCCTACAAAGTCCTCACTGATTGCATTTATTTTTTATAGGTTTGTACGGATTTTGCTTCTTTCTTCTATCAGGTCAGTCGTGTGGCAGTAATGGGTACGTGCATTTCCCCAAATTTCTTGCAGACGTAGGCCAGGATAGAGTGTATGGTTATAACCCGCCTGCAGATCTTTTTTTTTTTTCCTGGTCTGCTCACCCAATAAGAAGGTGTGTGATCATCACAGTTCCCAACCTTTCTCTTACTCAGGTGAGGAAACAGTGGCCTCTATACAGGCTTGATGTTCATCATTTGCCTCTGCATTCTTCTTTCAAGATAAGAGAACTGACATTTGTGAAGTGCTTTTACATGCATGACCTCATGAATCAACCTGAGAGTTCTGTGAGGGGTTTTGCACAGATGGGAAAGTGGGGCTGCAAAAGGTTCTGCTTCCAGGGTTGTACAGCCAGTGGCATTGGAACGGGGAGCAAACATTGGGACCAGCTCATCCAACTCCAAATTTTTTCCTCTTTCCTCTGCACATACTAACCACGTCACTATACTTCTCTGTAACAGAAAAATAATTCCAAAATAAGACTTACCCTTTATACATGTGGTGCTTTCTGATATTATCTGCTTTATTCTGTTTCATCTCACAAAATCTTGGTCAAAACCCACTACGTTGATTTCCTGACCCTCTGTAACAGGTCTCAAGCTGCTTTTTGAAAACTGCTGTGCGTTTCCTACTTCCAAAGTGCCTTTCACTCCGCATCTCCCTCATGGCTGCTGCCCCCAGTTCAGGCTCTCCACACACCTTCTTACCTGGACGATTATAGTGGCCTCTTAGCTTTTATCCTCCACCCATTCTTGCTTCCCTCAAATCTATTCTTCATGCTGAGAACAAAGCAATTTGAAAAATACATTTCTGACCACATCATTTCCCTGATTTGAAATCTTTAAATATCTCCTTGCTCTTATGCACCTAGTGCTTAGTACATGGAAGATGATCAGTAAATATGTGAGTGAAGAAATAGTTATAAAGACTGATTGTGTGTTTTTCCCAGGATGAAGATCTTCTCCCAAGTAAATATTTTGAAATCGACTTTCCAATGATAGTCACGCGAAAGCTGCACAATATCAAGTAAGTGTGGCTTCAGTCAGAGGAAAAGAGCCAGGTAGAACCGGGTAGAATTCAGACCCAGCACTCAACAGATGGTGGGTCTGAATGCTGGAGGCCTCATTTTAGGGCACTGCTTTCCTTTGACACCCCCCTCCTTTCTCACCCAGGACCCTCATTTCAGCATGTTGTGCAATCTTCAAAATGCAGTATCCAATTCCTTGTG